TGTGCCAAGAATGCATTCATTCTTCGTAAGGCGTACTGGGCGTGCCGGGCGTACCGGGCGTGCCAGGTGTACTGGGCGTACTGGGCGTACTGGGCGTACTGGGCGTGCCGGGCGTGTTGGGCGTACCGGTATGTCGTCACAGTGCCCTTTAGCACGAAGGAACAGGTTGGAGTTGGCGCATGCAGCAATTAGAAATTCGCAGAGGTTGCCGTAGCTTTGGCCATCCGAGCCGCACACGAAGGCGATGTTGCGGTGGCATGCAGTGTTGGGCCCAAATCCAGCGCATTGTTCCTTCGTAGGGCGCTGGCCTGACGCAGACATCAAGAAGGCAAGGACGACGGTGAGAAGAACAAGCATGGTCGCTGTTCGATAGGCCGGGGGCAGGGTAGAACACAAAGGTAGAGCTCAGCTCGAGGTAGAACCAGGAATGAAGAAACCAAGTCTACATCATTCCAAACCTCTCATATCCTTACGTAAGCCTTGGTCATCATATCGCATGGCTCTGTCTCAATCTTCCGAGCACTAAACATTCCATCTATGGTTTGAAGTCCTTGAGACCTACCTACTACAGTAGTATCGACCAGGGTGAACAAAATGCCGATATTGAACTTCAACACAATCGATCTCGGTATTTGTATCGGGGTGAACCACTATTTTTGAGAAAAACTTGTCCACCGAACCCAGGTTCTCGACCGGGAGATGAGGGAACAGGACACATCACCATGAAGAATTAAGGACCCTTGACCCCTTCAAATCTTGGTGTGCCATTGTCGAGAGGATATATATGCATCTTTATTCAAGCTGTCACGTGCAAGTCAGTCAACCAGGAACTCAATCTGCCAGCTACTTCCACGGAATCAAACGCCGTGTACATGCGCGAGACAGTTCCATGGATTATTATTCGCTTGAGCATATTTATGCTGATATTTGTATTAAATATGGTATTTTTATTCATCCATAATTATTTACGTTTTGCAAAACGATCTATACATCGTGCAGATTGTGCATGCGTGTACGTACATGCGGGAAAGGCGCGATGCAGGTCAGCGATTTCTCACTGCATACTCCGCAATGGGTCACGGAACTCTCAATTCCTGATAACAACAACTAATCCTATCAAGAACACCTTATTGCATGTCACCTGAATCAACAGCTGTAGAGAAAGACAACTTCGAACTTAGCGAGTTTTCAATGTGAAACGGCGCGAAGTTTCTGACTGCAAATGCCATGCGAGATATAAAACGTGTCAGTACAACAGCCAATCCCTCTCCAACAAGTTGGATGACTGCAAAGAAACTCCAGTTTCGCCTTCGCCAACCATGAGTGCCTCGATTTTGGCCTTCCATAACTTCGTGTTACGATGA